GGGTTCCGTATATCAAGTGTTTTTGCAGCTCAAATAATTGATTGTTCAGCGTGCTCCTATCTCCTTGCCAATCTTCCACTGTTTATCCACTACAACCATATTGGAATTTAATATCTGAAAGGACAAATGTAGGAAAAGGGTGGAGCTTAAAGATAAAGTTAGTCTCAGAAAGAGATGTACGACTTTTTTTTCTTTAATAGAGCTTTCTGGCAGACACTGACACAAATGAAATCATCATGTCACATCTTAGGTGGTTTTTTTTTTTTTTTACATATTATAGCATTCTGTTTGGGGATAACATATGAGCAGTCAGCGATTGTACTGTGCATTGTAGTGCAGATTTATAGAGTTCAAATGCTCTATTTTATCTCTCACACAGGATGAAAAAATAGGCAAATAATATTTCCTTCATTCTATCTCATAATGTAAGTACAATTTATAGGCTGATGCTTATATATGTAAATATATATGCATTTACCCAGGGAAAATAGGGGGGGGAAAAGACCTAAATGCTGAGAGATTTTTTGTGTAAGACTTACAGCACATTTCTGATAATGTAATGTCCATTCTCTGTGGATTATTGCTGATTTTAGAGATCTTGCCAGTATGTCAGTTCCTTTTGTATGATTCCAGCTGTCTCTCCAAGTGTTGGAGCTCTTTACTCAGCATAGAAAATGCTGTATATTTGCAGAGATATCTGGCAAGAAGAGTAGTGACAAGTCTCTCTGTTTCTTCCACAAGCCTTGCTTTTCCTGTAGATCAAGGGGTGGTAAGTGATGGATCTTACAGCAGATCACCAGAAATAATTAAAGATGTGGCTAGTATTATCTGCCTTTATAGAGAACAAGCTGTAGCAGTTACAGAGATCACAGATTAGTGGAGGAAGTTGTTACTACCCTCAGCTAAGATGTAGCTTGTTTTCAAACAAGGTCCTCAGGTTCAGCAAGTCTGAGCTCGTTGATTTGCTTAGCGTTCTCTCTTACATACTTGTTACATGCCAAAATTCATGCATCTTTGCACCTTTGTGCTTGGAACTAGCTTTTTGTGCCAGAATGGAATGGAACCTCTGAATGAGTTTGGACCAGTGATCTCTCTGGTCCCTTACCTTATCTTCAGCTGTTTAGGATACTCTGTAAGTGATTTTTCCAGGTGCTCATCCCTTGCTCTCTAAGTCTGCTTACCTCTGCAATTTCTGCAAGTACAAGAATCTTGGTTTTTATAATCTGCACAAGACTGTGTTTGTGTTCTCCTCTGGCACAGTAGTCCGAGGCCCTGTCTCACGTATGTGAGGTGGTCGTCGCTCTTCTAACTTGTCTCCAAATCCTGCCTTGAAATTGTGATCTAGGGAAATTCTCTGCCTGTCTGACAGGGGAGACATCATGACCGGGAAGGCGAAGTTGTGATAGCAAGGATATGTTTGTCTTATTCCCTTGGAAGTGAGGGTAAGGGATGTAAAACAATGTGCAAAAAGAGATCTGCAGAAGAGTAAAACAAGCATATGCAATGCTTCCCCCAAGTTCAACTGTTCTTGGCTCACTTTAGTAACTCCTAATGGGTTAAGACTCTTCTAAGCATTTTGTTCAGTCTCCTCTTGAGTGCATATAAACATTTTGCATCCTGAACATACTTTGTGGAGAAGCTGCACTACCCAAAGGATGACAAAATACTTCTTGTCTTTAGTTATTAGTAACCTACTACATTTTGGATTTTTTCATGGGTTAGTGTTATGGTATTTTATTAATGAGCTATCTAACTTATTGATTGCTGTTTATTATTTACAGATTTCAGGTTACAGTCACTTGCCTGTTAATGATCTGCATTGCAAATATATTCTTTTAATAGACTACACTTGGTTTGCAGTATGCTAAATAGGTAAGAGTGACACAGTACTGATGATATAACCACAGTACTGTTTAGTAATGCCATTTCTTTTCAGTACCTTGCCTGACTTTTAAATCATTACATCTGAGTTACTGACCATAGGATGTTTATATGTTTGAGCGACTTTTCAAAACCATCTTCTTCATTTAAGCAACAAAAAGTATTTCTTATACTACCCTGGGAAGTTTTCTAAATTGAGAAATTGACAATATCCTCTGCAAGATAACCCCATACTAATCTGGCGTTATTCAAATCACGCCTGGCTTTCAAGTGTATTTCAACAGAGGAGGCATATACAATATTAATTTTTATTGGCATAGCACCTTTATAAATGTTACATTTAATAAGATCATTGCTGAAAGGTTAAAGCTAGTGAAATTCCTGCCTATATAGGTAGGTAGTGTGAATTTGACTTTTTGAATTATCATCCTGAAATCTAAAAATGCACTTCCTGTTATGCCTTTCTTTATTTCATTTGTCTATGAGGGCTAGACAGGAATGGCTTCTGCAGCTTAAATGGAGGTTTCTGTTGTATATCTGTTTCAATTTACCCCCTGTGGAACAACGTCTTCTAATCTCACTCTGGTTCCCCCTGCTGAGTCAAACCCCTACAAGTAAAGTGACAGATGAGATGTGGGATCAGAAACATTCCTGAATGTAAATTATATACTTTTGTGAACTCTTAGCCATTCTTAGTAATTGTGGCAATGTTAGTTTTTCCTTTTCCTATTTTTTAACAGATTTTTTGTTGTTATAGTCCAAAAGACAAGCATATAAATACTTTTTGCATTCATTATTGACAGTAGCATAAGCTGTACTTATTGCCTTGTTTAGTTGCCTATGGAAAGAAAAGAAAAGTGTGTTTGTGCAAGTGGAGGGGAAAAGAGAAAGGAATATACGGAAGCAAGAACCGAATTACATCTCAAAATGTCCCTTGCAGGAAGCTTTTCATAATTTTCCTAGCTTTCTTCTTTCTGCAACTATTTCAACATAAATTGTACCAATAAGATTCAGCAGGTCACATGCAAAACTGTAATTCTTAGCCAGCTGCAAATGTTGTTGTATGACAGTTAACATAAATATTAATGAAATATTGTTAATATCCCTATAATGAAATTCCTGTATAGTAAAACTCATAATTACTCATAAACTGAATCAATGAAGAAAGATGAGCAGTCATATTGTAAGTTCAGATCTTCCAGTAGGACTGGTCCACAAACTCTTTTAATACTGTGTAGCCCAATATTAGCGTAGCTTTAAAAATGAAACTGAGTGTTATTATTATCACCATTAATTTGCATTTCTCCAATGCAAATAATGATTTTGTGAGTTGGGAGAAGGGCCTATAACCATCAATATCCCTTCTCTTATAAACTCAGAGGATGGGGTCTATATGATGCAGAGCTAGTGGAGGTGAACAGTTACTTTGTGAATGTCCCTCTTTGAGGTCCTTGCTTCATATTAGATCTCATAGTTAGAAGCTATAATGCCTAACAATGTTTTTACTTTTCTGGAACCTTTTTTCTTTCTGAATATATTTCTTTAGGAGCTTAACTCATTTTATTTCTGAAAGTATAGAGTTGTTTGACCTGGTATCAAATCTTTACAAGATGGATCTCTCTCAAACTCTCTATTGTTTAATCCTTCCGTACTGGAGAGTGTTAAATGTTCCCTTTCACACTGATATCCATCCCTCTCACAGGCTAAGCATGTGAAGTCTAAGGGAAACATTGCTTTCTTTGAAATAAAACAAAACGTGAAACCACTTATGTGCTTCCAGTCTACCTCTCTTCCTTTGCTTTCTCCATTCATTTTTTACCTCTCGTACTTGAAGGCTAGGTACTCCTCAGTAATAGAGAGTAATAATGTGGTCTTTGTGACTAGTTTGAAGTCAGGTGTCATTGTCCCAGATTCTATGATGATTATTGTCTCTTGCAATATCCTGCAAAAGTTCCTCTTCAAGGGTTTTAGTGTAGGAGTAGGAAGGCCCTATAGATGCAGTCAGCAATACTACAATACTTGCACTTTCCTGAACTTTTCACGCTGCTTGGTAAACCTACTTGTATTTTCTTTGTTTTCCCATTGTAGAAGACTATTCTACTATTTATTGCCGAGAAACAAAATCCATTAGCATTAGATATATATCCTTTTATTCTTGTGCTAGCATAATCTTTAACCCTGAATATCTTTGTTTAAGGCTAAGTACCTTTGTCTGCTTTACTCATTCTAACTTCTATCTGTTCAGAGTCATTCATCTTCTGTTTACTTTTTGACAGAATAGTGACTATATTGCAAGAAAGAAGAGCTATATCTAGTGTTTAAAATACTTTGAAACTTCACTTATTGACTTGCTATTGCAATGGACAATGCATAAATGGTGACTTTTTATATGACATTTCTAACTCTTATTTTTTTCCTGTACAATTTTGCAATTATATTCCCCAGAATTAAAGTCATGAAAGTTTAGTTTCTTCCATAATATTTGGAAGCTGTTTTACATTCATAAAACATCTTCTTTAATATTTCAAAGCTTATCTCATTGGAGATAATCTTACGCTCTGACAGTTAACAATAGTCTATCAATTGTACCAGTCTAGCAACTGTAACAGTCACTACGCTCTATTAGGTTCATACTATGAATTAGAAATCATTATCATTACAGCACTTCTAATTGCAGTACCTTCTGAAAGTAGACAGCGTATTAAATATGAATAATGACAAACATTTTCTATGAGTATTCTTTTTCAAGAAATAGTTTTTCACTGTTTAAACTTCATTTCATGCCTTGACATCCATTCTGTGCTACTCTGGTGAGGGTGAATGTGGGGAAATATACAATTTCACAGTAGCAGTAGAGAAATCATACAGATCGTTTCTTATGGACACCTCAACAACTGTTAGGAAAGACTTTTAAAAGGCATCCTTGAATTTTATTTGCTTATTTATTTATAAATCATGAGCTCTGCATGATGTTATTAAGGACTGGAAACTATATCTCTGCACGAGTGGTCCAGGGTGGTCCAGTAGCAGAAAGCTCTGTACTAAGGACTGTCAATGATCTAAGAAAACCTTGGACAAGTCACTGAACTTCTATGGTATTCAGGTCACTATAAGGAAGAGAGATGCTGATGCTTTCTTTCACCCTTTGTTTCTTTGTCTTCTTCTGGATGACGTTGAATGATTTCACTGGAAAAAAAAAGAAAAAAAGAAAAAAAAGGATTTATATCAGCCTTTTTTTCATTCCATCCCCCCTCCATTTTCCAATGAGGGAAAATGTGGAGGAAAGGTAGCCCAACTACAGCACTCATATGAGTGGTGAGACAGAGGAAGGTTTGCACAGCTGTGAACAAATATGGCTGCTTTTCTTTTCATCAAGATAAATCTATGTTTGGAGAAAAGAGGAGGCACGTTTCTGAGGAAGTAGCGATATGGGGGAGAAGCCTTTATAAAAAAAGTGGAACTAGAAATGGGGAGCTAACAAACTAAGAAGTGGATGTGACTGTTCACTCAACTCCTGCTCAGGCTGTGGGCCTTAACACACAGCTCGTGCCTGATGCTTGCTGGGAACAGCAACATTAGGCCAAAATGACAGCAACTGTATGCCAGATACTCAAGGACAACAAAGAATGAAGTCTGCTGTCTTGCCGCTTTATAAGTAGCTGCTTGTTAGCACCTGATAAGCACCTGAAACTCTTTGGAATTAAGTAAATCCTTGCCAGTGACTGAAGCAACCAATAGGAATTGTATAGACCAAACTTTTCAAGCTAGAAAGCATAAATAGGTCCGCCCACCCAGACAGCCTTTGAAGTGCATCCACCAGCAGCTGGACTGCTGAGGCTCTCATGCTTTCCAGAGCAACACAGAGGACACCAGCTTCACAATGGCGGAGGAAGGATGAGTGCTTTTGCCATTGGTTAGGTAACCGTTTTGCTCATAAGCACGCAATGCTAACAAATTATCAAGTTAACGAACCAGCAAACTAGTGAATTAAATAACTAGAGAACTGACAATTTAGGCTGGTCTACAGCAAAGGGATTAACCTCTTGTTTTCTTGTTTGCTTGTTTTTTTCTTAATGAGCTCATAAAAATAAAGTCTGTTTTGCATGGTATGCAGGCTTGTAATTTGAGAGATCACACTGAACCATGACAAGAGGGTTGTCATAAATTATACATTACCAGCTAAACCTAAGCTCCAAAACATCAGTGATCACTATTGCAAGTCATGATTAAGATAGTAAAAATTAACAAACTAGTGAAAGGCAAAGCTATCTTTGAAAAACAGGAACAGGAAAACTGTTGACATGTCTGCTTAATTCTGGCTCCCCAAAAGGTGCCAGAACTTCTTATTATTTGCTAGTACCTACAAATAGAAGAATAAAAATATACACAGAGGAAAGAAGGGAAAAATAAGAGCAACAGGCAACGCAGTGTTTTGAAGAACAAATTACGTGAGACATATCTAATTTCTTTCTGTGACAAGCTAACCTGCCTTGTGGACTGGGTCAGGATTTTTTTACTTTCAGACTTCATATTCTGACAAATGACCGTGAAGAGCATGATATAGAATGCATTATGAATAACATTGGCTAGAAACCTGTATACAGTTATTTATTATCCGTGGTTCATAATCAAAAGAGAAGAGCATAGTGAGTTCTGATATTCAATATTTTCATTAGTGTTATGAAAGATAGAATGCAGACTGTTTATTAAATTTACAGATCAAACTAAATTGAGAGAGTCTACAAAGTTTCACTTTCAGGCTCTTACAAAGTTGTGGTTGCAGAATAGGTCTAAAGGATTTAAATAAAATACAATGTGAACTCAAACCAGAGGTGGCACATTGTTGCAGAGCCCCCAGTCCACTTGCACATGTATGAGGATGAGTATTGTCTCTAAGTCATATGAAGGTATTCTTTCCCTTTTTACTACTGTGTTCTCTTCCGAAGTACTGTGAAAAGTTTTGGGCGTTACAATTTAAGATGGGTGTTAAATAGTTGTAGCGAATCCACAGAAAATACTGGAAGTTAAACACTGAGCTTGCTTACTTAAGGAAGTCTGATGATGACTGAACAGTTGCCAAATATATCAAGGATGGCTGCAGAAATGTAGGCTACTGTAATTTGGAATCTCAGATGTAAAAGTGCAAGTACCTTCTTCCCCATTCACATTGCACTACGCAAGAGTAATAAACAGCAGACTTCTCAACCTTTGTGTAGTTTATTCAGTGAACAGAGAGATCAGTGTTGCTTAAACATGAGTTATTTTAGAGCTAAGCAGCTTTTTGGATTGGAAGAGAAATCAACATAACTAAAATAAATATCATAAAATGTTTATTTTTAAACATATATTTTCTCTGCAGAAGAGCTACGGGGGAAAAGGAAATCAGGCATGATATAGTCTCACTCATTTTAGCCGATGGGAGCTTTACTTTCCTTTTTACTTTGACTTTTATTTTGGGAGAAGATGTAAGAGACCATCGACCACATTTGGTAGTTAGAAATACAGTACATTTTTACAAATGTGTAGAAAGATTTTCTTTTTTCTGTACAATTCTGATTCATATTCATTTTCTGGCAGAAACAATGATATTCCAGTCCTTTGCAATGGCAAGCATCCTAATCTGTGTATACGAAATAAAGTTATTGAAGGCAACGATCATCCCTAGCTAAACAGCAAGTCTATGTGGCTCTTTGAATGATGCGATTCTGTATGTACATCTCAAGGATCATTGCAAGTTGCAGTTACTTGTAAAGATCAAAAATATACTTGAAAATTACCACTATTCATTGGCCTTTGCCACTGTTACACTCAACAAACAAAACAGTTCTATCTGTCCCAATAGTCTGTTTGAGCTTCCCTCATGGTTTATGTGACCCATTTTGAAATATATTTCACTTAATCACTTTACAGATAAGGAAGGGCAAGCAATTGGCAGGTAGGAGATGTCATGATTTTCCACCTTTTTATGTGGAAATTGCAGCAGAACTCAGAGTTTTCATTAAGCTCTTGGTTTGGTGTGTGAGAAGGAAGATCTTTTCCACAAAAACTTTCTGAAAAGTCTATCTGTTGCTGAGGTTTCACTTTGATCATATTTTTCCTACCATCTATCTAGATGATAGCAGGATTTGTGATAAGAACATGACGTTATTACAACTAAATAGATATTCAGACAGACAGACTGTGAAATTAAATGGTTGTTCGGATTTTTCCTTGTTTTTGGACATGGCTTATGTTCTGTATGAAATAAGTCAGTAGAGCCATCCTCATTACCATGCCAACTACTGTCTGGTGTTTTCTTGATTATATCATTTTAGACCTCAATAAAGTAATATACAGAAGCTTTTCTATTTATTCCGGTCATACTATGCTCTCAGAGGAAGCAGGCTGTTTTTTTCTCATCTTGTTTTACTCATCCTGGAATAATGGATGAAATGAGAGAGAAATTGAAAAAATAACAATAAAAAATACACTGCAAAGATAAATCCATTCAGTGACTTTGATATAGGTTGAAACGTAAAACTGTCTAGAATTCTATTACTTGTAGTCCTAAACTAGCATTTTGGGAAAGAAGAATAAAGATATAGAAAAAACATTCTTTTCATTCTTGTAAAAACAGGAAGGGAAAGAAACTTCAAGTAAAATGAAGGAAACTTAAGGAAGAAATCTGTCCTTCCTTACAAGGAAACTTGAAGTAAAGTGCACACAGCTAAAAAATCATCAATTAAGAAATATTCGTTCAAGAAATCAAGTGTTTAAAATTATCTATCTTTTTTCCAGGTCTAACACATTCTATTTACTGTTCTATTTCAATTCTAATTCCAAGCAACTAGTTATTAGTCTTAATGCAGCCTTGGAATAGGGTCCAAATGATGTAGGAATGAACAGTAAATATGTTTTTCATGATGACTGGTTTCAAGAAACACGTGAAAAATTCCCTCAGGTGTAGTGGGACAGTGGTATTTCTTGCTACAGATCCTACATTTATAAACTGTGGAGAACTGTCATGAAATGAAAGAGAAAAATGAGAGTTACTTTTCACCCATATCCTCAGATTATTTACTGAGTATCAGGAAAACAGTAATTTTCCGTTATCTTAACTTGCTTGGTCTGTGGACTTCACTTGGAAACTACTGTTCTAAGAATAATCTCATTGGTTTTGATTTTATTAGTGCTTGTATTAAGCTAATATGTTCATGTAAAAGACAGTGTTTCTTTTTATAAAAGTTATTGTGGTCATTTTAAAAATTGTCTCAATTCTCATGCCTGTATATATATCTTGATATAGATAGGCAGATATATATTTATAGATCTTCCATTTCCAGGAGTACTTTACAGAGGTTCAGTGGATAATTTAAGAAAGGTTTGAAAACCCTAGTAAAGAAGATCCCCCCAGGCTAGAAGAGAAAATGATATATGCAGACTCACTGTTATTAAAGCTATGATTAACAAAAGAAAGCCCGTGGGCAGAAAGAAACTCTTAGTGTTGATGAATTCTGGAAATTAAACTGCTGTAAGAGGAGAAACAAAGATATCACAGAGTCATAGAACAGTAGGTTGGAAGGAACCTCCACTGTCTGCTCTAATTTAGCTCAAGTTTCTCAGGGCCTTGTCCAGTTGAGGGTTGGATGTCTCTGTGGATGGATATTCCACTGTCTCTTTGGGTAACTGATTCCAGTGTTTGACTACCCAGCCAGGAAAAGAAATTTCAGTACCTACTCAGAATTCCCCTTACTGAAACCTAAGTGTGTTGCTTCTCACCTTCCACTATGCATCTCTGAGAAGAGTCTACTCTGTCTTCTCCTGTCCTATCAGGTAGCTGTAGATAGCACTATAATCTCCCCTTCCCCTTCTCTCTTCACTGCAAGGGCACACTGCAAGGACACACTGTCAACTTGTTGTCTAACAGAATCCCAAGGTCCTTTTCTGCTAAGCTGCCTTTTAATCAGTTGATCCTCAACCTACATTATAGGGAAATTTTGTCCCAGTTATAGGACTTTAAAGTTTGTCTGTGTTGAGGTTCATGAGATTTATTGAAGCTGAGTTCTTCAACCTGTTGAAGTTCCACAGAATACATGCTCCACTCTCATGATTGCCCAAGGTCCAAGCCATTGATAAAGATTTTAAACAACATCGGCACTGGTCTCAGCCCCTGAAGGACAGCATTATTAACTAGAAATTGTCTTGCT